GTCATTGCCTATTATAAGCTGTTACACAACAAAGAAATGGTTGCATGGCATACTTTCTAGATCAAAATACAAAACTTTCTATGCATAAAGACCTTACGTTAAACAAAATGCGACCAGTGCCCCTTAATTAATTTTGACCTAGAAGACAAAAAATACCTCGAGCGAAGTTTACTTTTAGAATGGATTCGGGTTTTCCATATAAAGTATCATGTCATCTGTGAAGAGAGAGAGTTTGACTTCTTCTTTGTCCATTTGAATACCTTTTATTTCTTTTTGTTGTCGGATTGCTGTTGGTAGAATGGATTCAGATTCTACTCTCTTAATGGAAATGACAGTACCTGGCAGGGCACACCTATCATAAATTCCAAGTTAGTGCTGGTCAGATCAACCAGATTTTAACTAAAGTTGAAAGGGTTCAGGGAAACAAAAGAGAAACGCTTGTTTGAAAAAAATCTATTGATTCTGAGGTTAATGCATCCTTCCCATTTTAGACTATTAATTTTTTTAAAAGATTTTATTTACTTGACAGAGAGAGAGAGAGAGAGATCACAAGTAAGCAGAGAGGCAGGCAAAGAGAGAGGGGGAAGCAGGCTCCCCGCAGAGCAGAGAGCCCGATGTGGGGCTCTATCCCAGGATCCTGAGATCACGACCTGAGCCAAAGGCAGAGGCTTAACCCACTGAGCCACCCAGGCATCCCATCATCCTTCCCATTTTAAACTTCTAAAAAGGATAGTTACAACTGTTGGCAGTGACGAATAGAAATACATTCATTACATTTGCCTGTCTGCTTTTTAGAGTTTCTGAAATTACTTTTGGTAAACAATACATTCATCTATATTTATAAGATTATAATTAGATATATTAGATATATTATATTTATAAGACTTATATAATCTTAGAGATGCTGAGTAGTGATTATGTTACCAGTTAATCCTAAAGCATAATAAACGTCCTGTATTCATAATTATCTTTTTAAAATTAGATTCATGATTCTTTTTTGTAAACTCAAATTTTAGATTCATTTTTGGAGTAGAACAGGTTTTTCACTATTTGCAAAGTTATTTCTGAGTCGCAAAAATTCTCTCTCCATGTTTTTCTCTTGCGTTCCCTCATTCAATCTTGGCTGCCACAAATCAGACAGAAAACGCGAGGACACTTCTTTTGCATCTATAGTAGAAAACTCAGCAGCAGACTGTAACTACTCCAGATCTCATGATAACATTCTTCAACATGTGTATGATAATCTGAGTTATCCCCCTTCCTTGACTTATGAGGACTAAATAGAAACAGAAAAAAAAAATTTCTGCCCAAACCTAGGAGCACTTCACTGCCGGCCCACAGGTCTTAAATATAAAACCTGTTAAACGAATAAACAAACAAAAATAAAAGCAGAGCTAGACCCATAAATACCCAGAACAGACTGATGGTTGCTAGAGGGAGGGAGTTGGGGGATGGGCAATATGGGTGAAGGGGAGTGGGGGAAGCAGGCTTCCAGTTAAGGAACAGATAAGTCACGGGGATAAAAGGCACAACACAGGGAATGTAGTCAATGGCATTGTATGGTGTTGTTTGGTGACAGATGGGAGCCATACTGTGGAGAGCACATCACAATGTATAGACTTGTCAAATCACCATGCTCTACACCTGAGATGAATGCAACATTGTGTGTCAACCCTACTTCAATTAAAAAAAAAAAAAAAAACTAAATCAACATTTTAAAAAACTGTTAAAAACAATCACAACAGGGGTGCCTGGGTGGCTCAGTGAATTAAGACTCTGCTTTTGGCTCAGGTCATGATCCCAGGGTCCTGGGATCAAGCCCCACATGGGGCTCTCTGCTCAGCAGGGAGATTGCTTCCCTTCCTCTTTCTCTGCCTCTCTGCCTACTTGTGATCTATGTCTGTCAAATAAATAAATAAAATCTTAAAAAAAAAACCACAACAAAAAGTCAATAGCTATAGTGCTTAAATAATGCGTATTGATTCTGTTGAAATAGCTATACTGTAAAAGACAGAAGAATTTGGCTAATCATGTGTTATTAGATGTTTACCCCATTACACCTGGTATATACTAAGAAAAAAGAGAAAAAAGATAATTGGATCTTTGGATTGGGGACTAATTTTGTTTTGTTTTTTTTTATGTCGTTGTTTTTAATAGTATTTTGATAGTATTGCTAATGTTTCGGGTACTATGGGGCTTCTTTCTCCTTTCCATGTTATACTAAAGAGCCAAGATTTTAGGGGCAACAGGCCGGCTAGGCCCAAGATCTCTTTCTTCCTTACTGCTCCATGGGGGTTCACTGGATAGCCCAGGTTTGCTCAAAGGAAATGAGCAGTGTTCTTTGGTCCAGACTGAACCTGTTCTGAAGAGCTCAGTTTTAGCCTATGGGCTGGTTAATGAACAAGCTTAGTCAACAAGGTTAATTTGTGGATCTCTACAAATGTGGTCTGTGTGGTGGTATCTCTCTTGAAGGCAAAGACTTTCCCCCATATCTGTTTCCAGGGAAGGGTGGTCTTCAGACCAAAATTCTCTCTTGCCCGAGGTAATCAGTTCTCTGAAAGTGGGTCATTGTAACCTGGGTCTACACTTCATGGTGTCTAGAACTCTGCTCTTGGGTTGCCAGGGTTAAAGATGGACATTGCCCCTCGGAAGCAAGCAGAGGCATGGAAAGGAAGTCATCCCTGTCATGCCAATAAAGGAAGATGAGCAAGCTGTATCTTTCACTAGATTATGCACAAATGACTCCTATTTATTTCCCTTTTGATATCTGTAATTCATTAGTTCTCAAACTTGGACGAGCATCAGATTCACCTGGAGGGCTTGTGAAAACCGAGATGGCTGGGCCCTTGCTCCAGAGTTTCTGATTCAGTGGGTCTTCGAAGGAGCTCATCAAGACTGCATTTCTTTTCTTTCTTTCTTTCTTTCTTTCTTTTCTTTTCTTTCTTCCTCCCTTCCTTCCTTTCCTTTCCCTCCCTCCCTCCCTCTTCCTTCCTTCCTCTTTCTTTCTTTCTTTCTTTCTTTCTTTCTTTCTTTCTTTCTTTCTTTCTTTCAGACTTTATTTATTTATTTGACAGAGAGATAGAGAACACAAGTAGGCAGATCAGCAGGCAGAGGGAGCGGGAGAAGCGGGCTCTCTGCTGAGCAGGGAGCCCGATGTGCGGCTCGATCCCAGGCCCCTCAGGGGATGGTGCTACTGCTGGTCCAGGAAGATGCATTTTGGGAACCACTTTCTGAACCCACTGATTCTCATCATATGGTGCAAAAACCATCTGATTAAAAATTGTCTAAAATACTTGCTAAAACATAGGTTTGTGGAAGTTTATGGCCCTCGGTCAGAATCTGGGGCGGCCGTCAGAATGACACTTTACTGAGCTCCCAGGTAACATTCACGCATTCTGAACTTTGAGTCTCAATACCTTACCCGTTAGCAAAGTCTCATTTCAGGGTTCCATCCAGTCTGGGTGAGCTACGTCATACTAAGGAAGGAGTTCTCAGCCCACCCTTACACGAGGAGGAGCCAAAAAGCTGCATCTTAGCGCCAGCTATGATATGAGACACATTCCCTGGCTGGATACAACATAGGACACGCTGTGAGGAGGCAGTGGCTTCCCATCGTTACCACCCTTTGGGGGAGACTCAGAAGATCTTTGGACACCTGTCTAGGGAAGAGCTATAACCAGTAAAAGCCCAGAGAGAAGGTAAATCTCAGAGAACCAAGTTGAGCTGGGTGTTCCGGCTAGCCAGCTTACTAAGAGCTCCTTTTTCCAAGACTCACTTTGGAGGTTATAGTATTTTTTATTAGGAAAAACAGATCATAGCTCCTCTATTTTTAAGGCTGGAGGTATAGCTTACACTGAAGTGTAACAGCTGGTGAAGGATGCCAGAGGCAGGCCTCGAAGCCCCAGCTTAGAGATCTTTGGATGTGCCTCTGGGGCCACCCTGGTGGTTACAAGAAGGCCTCCATGTAGGCCCCAAAGGTCTTTGCCTCTGTTTATAAGAGCTTCTCTGTCTGCACGAGATTAGGGACAATCACCTGGATGTATGTATCATTTAATAATTCCCATTTAGGGGCACCAGAGTGGCTCAGTGGGTTAAAGCCTCTGCCTTCGGCTCGGGTCATGATCCCAGGGTCCTGGGATCGAGCCCCATATCAGACTCTGCTCAGCAGGGAGCCTGCTTCCTCCTCTCTCTCTCTGCCTGCCTCTTTGCCTACTTGTGATCTCTATCTGTCAAATAAATAAATAAAATCTTAAAAAAAGAAATTCACATTTAACAGTTTATATGATTTAATAAATAATTCCCTTCGACAGTGAAAAACACCTTATTCCTGAAACCAGACGGAAAAAAGAAAAAAGAAAAAACCAAACCAAACCCAACAGACACCTAACGGACGCATGTCATTTTTAAGACCAAAGAAGAAAGATGCAGGGCTGAGATGGTCATTTCCTGAGTCTACCTCCTGTTCTAGCACCAGCACCAGAGCCACTGAGAGGTGGGACACAGACCAGAGCCTCTGCAGCTTTCTGTGCCCCAGGCTCGCGTTCTCATTGCTTTTAGCTCCAAAGTCGTGTTGGGGTCCAAAGTAAAATAGGTGTTACACGCAAGTTTAGCAAAGACAGATTAGAAACTCCTCATAAGCCAGACCCACACAGAATAAACGTCTTGACGGAGACTTGTAGAGTTGGGGGCTCTTAACCTGAAAAACGGATTTTTTTTTTCTTTTTTTTTAGTAGAAATGAAGCAAGTCAGTGGTATACTTCTATTTGTGGGCAAATCAGGGTTTCCTGAGTCTTTGCTTAGTAAGTTTTCCCAAGCTCGGTGCTTTTTCTTAAAGCTAACCTGTTAGACTCTGGCAAATCTGTTTCACCACTCCAACTTGTTCTAAAATTGTAAACTGGAATCTCCTCTATCTTAAAAACCTCACACTCTGGGCTTCACACACCCTCTGCTCATCATGCATCAGAAACAAGACAATTTCTTCATCTCTGTTGACGCTTTACCTGAGCTGGTTGAGGCAGGGGATTTGCTGCGCCTGGAAGGTCCTGGGCTCTTGGTGGTGCTCCTGCGGGATGATGAAGCTATTTTGGTGTAAGAAGTGGACTTCACCACTCGACATTCTGGGGGAAAGAACAACAACCATAGGTCATTACAGGATCATGGCACAAACCATTCAAAATGCACAGTAAACCTGGAGACAGACATATCTGGCCCCCCTCAGTCCTATCGACTTCCTGCCAGCCCACTGCTTATCTAGAACAGAAGAACCAAGAAAACAATGAGAAAAGAGCACAGTGGGCGTTTTGGACATCGAAGTAAATAATATTCTAAGCCTTCTAGTTTACCTTGTTTACAATGATATTTTGGAGAGATTAGGGGTAATAGCTTGGTAAAAGGGTGCATTTGTTGGTTTCTCTCCACCCACCTCCTGCGTTATTTGGGTACATGTGTTTCTTTCAGGATAGATCGTTCTTTCTTCCAAGAAAAATGTTAGACAAAAGGTCAATCTCATAAACCAAGATATGTTGATGGAGGCTTCCACCCATCAGGTCCCAAAGTACTGCTCTTGGGAATCCTTGCAGTAGTAGCAATGGATTTTTTTTTTTTTTTTAACGATATGTGAGAAATGACAGCATTCACTCAAAAGAGGTAAACTCGGCAAAGAGATGACTTCACCCTGCTACAAGGACACTGTGTGAGTGTGCGCCATCACACAACTGTGCTTATAGGATGGTTCTTGGCCTGAGGATGTAAAACAACTTTGCTTTTATTAGATTTAAATCTTTGGTGTTTGTGTTCTTGAAATTTAACACTAAACATCTTAAATAGCAGAGAGTTTTTTATTTCCTTCCAAGTGAGCTGCACTGACCAGTCACAATGTTGTGTAAATCTACCCATCTTATTCTGAAGAAACCACTTTTAGTAACTAAAAAATATTTTTATGCTTGTACTGATAATCAGTGTTCACTGTGGGTAGAAAAGTATAGAGGATATTAAAGAAAAAAACCCTATCCAGTGATACTTTTTTTTTTTTTTTTGAGGGTGGTATACAAACTAAAATTTTCTAGAATTTTTTCTACTCAGTTTCTATTTAAACAACTTTGAGATTAGTCTGTATATGTTGATCTGCTACTAGCCTTTTCATACCATGATATATTGTGAGCATTTTCACCCTGTCTTTAAGGGAACATTTTACTACATGGATTTGCCATAATTTGCTTAACCAAATTCCTACCATTGGGTATTAAACTTGGGTTCAACATTTCACCATCATAAATAATCCCACGAATAACACCCTTCTAAATGAGCATGCAGATACCTGATTATTTCTTTAGGACAGATTTGGCCCCTGGCACTTGAAATTTAGTTTCTAGTTACTGGAAACCAGGGGGCACATTTTGGATGCTTAACAAATTCTGCTGAAAGAAGCAGGATTGTGAGTCTAAAGGGGAAGCACTTTTGAAAAGCTTTGACCAACTCCCCTTTAGACAGGTTGACTCGAACCGTACTTCCCTCGGAGTATGAGAGTCGTCATTAGCCTAACCCCTCACACAGTTTACGTTCTATCGTCTCAAAAAATCTTTAGTTTCTACACAAATATTGGACTTTGTTGGCCTTAAATCTGAATTGGTTTGATTACCAATAAAGTTGTATATTTTCCCCCATATGCTTGTTAACCATTTGTATCCTTTGGTATTATTTGCTCATGTCTTTTTGGCCATTTGCATTTGGGATGTTCTTTTTCTTACTGGTCTGTAAGAACGCACTCTGTATTAAAGTTCTTCTCCTTTGTCTATCATGTCATAAATATTTATCTGTGTAAGTAGTTGTTGAACCATGTTAGCTTTAAATGTGGTATCCTTTTTATTTTTTTTTAAGATTTTATTTATTCATTTGACAGAGAGAGAGAGAGAGATCACAAATAGGCAGAGAGAGAGGAAGGGAAGCAGGCTCCCCGCTAAGCAGAGAGCCCGATGTGGGGCTCGATCCCAGGACCCTGGGATCAAGACCTGAGCCGAAGGCAGAGGCTTTAACCCACTGAGCCTCCCAGGCACCCCGTGTGGTATTCTTTTTAAATACAGTAGTTTAAAATTGAAGTCTAATTGATTAGCTTTCCCCTTATGCATTTTTTATCATTTTATGTTTCAATAACAAAGAAATCATAATACTTCCAGATCTAATTCTGATGCTTGACTTCGAAATTTTCTTCCCTTCTCATGCAACGTCTAATTTTCTAAGCTCATAACATGTTTTTTTTTCAACTTCATACATTTCTGAATGGCTTCCTTTTTTTCCCAAACCAACAAAGTTGTTCATATTGTCTAGTAAAGAAGGCATGTAAGTATATATAAAATATAAATGTTGCAAGCCTGCAAATAGGAGATAATGGAGAGCGTCTCCTGGAGAGCCTAATGCATTGAACTGGGGTGGGGGGTGGGGAGGGCATAAAGAAGAGAAAGGATTTCAGATGGAAAAAGAAGGGGAAAGAAATTCATTGCACTTGAGGTATTAGTAGTTGTGGCTTCATAGTCAAAAGCAGAGAGAAATAAGTCAGGGCATTACTGAGCATGCCCAGGCTTCCCTGATAGTTACTTGGGCCATTGTTGGCTGCTTTAGCCTGGCCAGATGGTCCTGATATATTCTATTTCTTAAAAAAGAGAGAGAGAGAGAGAAATCTATCCATATGGCCATATCAGCAAAAATTTTAAAGGACAGAAGTAAGCAAGATATATAACAATAACAACGAAGATATGACCAGAGCCGCAAAAAGTGTTCTCATGGAGTGATGGTGTCTACGGCTGTGTCTACAGAGGTTTTAATTCACAAAACAGATCTTTGGAACATGTGAAGGAGACATCCAACTAGCTCAAGGCTCCAGCCACACAAGTGACAATGAATCCTGGAGTTTGTCCTCGCCTTGGATACTGGCCTGGCCTTTTGGAAATATATTAGCAACCAAATCGGATGGCTGTGATGTTGCTGGTCCATTGGCGGGCTTCAGGTGTCCAACATGTGCTAAGTGCTGAGCACGGCAGACATAATGAAGAACACATAAAGTTTTGGGACTCGAAATACTTGCCACCTGGCAGTGCAGCCTGGAGTCTTTTAGCCAACACTCATTTTTAACAAAATCATTTTTGCAACTGAAGGTTCTCGTTTCTTAATTTTTATTTCATGGAACTCATGCTTAAAAAACATCGCTTTAGGAAACCAACTGTTGTTAAGTAATAATACATTGTGCATTTGAACTCAAAATCAGGACCATAACGAGGGCAGGATGACCAGGACTTTCTGTCCCAGGTCATGAATGTTTAGAGGTCACCACATTTAAAATAATAACTCAAAAAGCTTTGTGTCTAGTGGGCAAGAATGAAAAGTTAAAATAGAAAGCCACCAGATGGTGCACATTGGTAATAACACCCATCTGTGAGCTGCAACATGAATTAAAAAGTTGATTTTAGGGTTTGTCGCACGCCGTTTGCCACAGGTGCCAGAATTGCTAGTTAGGGCTCCAACTACCAACCAGGGCTCGGGATCGGCATCGTGGAACCAGTCTTACCACACTCAGTTGACATTTTCCAGCTACCGCAAAGAAACTAGGCATTTTATAGTCGGGCGGCTCAGCCTTCTCAGAGCCAATGTAGGCGTTTTGTTTGATTTTCAAAGCATTGAAAAGAACTCGTGGGCTCACACCATGCTTCTAGAGCTCCTCTTGTGTCTCTTGAACTTAGTTCTCACCATATTATTAATCTATCAAAAATCATCATTTATTAGTCTGCCCCCCCCATCTCCTACTCCATTTGGTACTAACTAGTCCTGGCATAGGAAAAATCATGTAAAGTTCCTCCATAAATATTGGCCCAAGTTGCTACCGATCCTGTTAACCACTTGTATGAACTCTTATTATTTACTGACCTCTCCAACATCTCACTTTACAGAGGAGGAAACTGGGTGTCGGAGAGGCTAAACGACTTGTATCCAAACCCTGGTCTCAGAGTGGGGGCTTCCTCAGAACCCCAGGATCTACATCGCTTAAGCAAGCTGGCCCACTGTGAATAAGGGCTGACAAATTTCTATCAGTGTTCAGGGTTGGGGCAGATAGATGAGTGAGTGATGGTGGGAAGTGGGAAGCTTGGCAAACAACCAGTTCCATTTCAATTAAAAACTGAAGATACTAAAGTTACAACTCTATCAGGATGCCTGTTGCATTAGAAAACAAAACAAGGGGTGCCTGGGTGGCTCAGTGGGTTAAGCATCTGCCTTTGGCTCAGGTCACGATCCCAGGGTCCTGGGATGGAGCCCCACACTGGGCTCCCTGCTCAGTGGGGAGCCTGCTTCTCTCTTCTCTCACTCTGCTGCTCTGCCTACTTGTGCTCTCTCTCACTCTGTCAAATAAATAAATAAAATCTTAAAAAAAAAAAAACAAAACAAAACAATGAACTCTCCTTTGGAAGTGGACTTCTAGTGAAGTAGTAGGTTGAGGGGGGGCGTTGGTCATCGAGTCTGAAAGATCATTACGAATATTACAAATCTCGTACCTCTTGTCTTCAGAATAAGAGTAAAGCTTCATAAGTCATATAAAGAATTAGAATAATTCTGAAAGGTTAAGGTTGAATATAACAGAAAACAGAAACAAAACAATGACAGCAACTGCTTTTTTTCCCTAGGGTCAAAATAAAACCAATTGAAGAAAATTGCAGCTCCAAGCCATAAATTAGGAAAAAAAAAAAAAATACAAAAGACTCCAACCATCTTTCCCATTAAAGTTTAGATTTTAATTAGTTTAAATGGGAATCGTGTTTTATAATGGAGGAAAATGCAGTGAAGAAGGACAAATGCTTCATTACTTTAGAGAGAATGCCAAAATCTTTGTCAGCTTAAAACCACAACTTAGAAACCTCATGAATAATATGATCTAAATGACCAGTAAAACAGAAACTCTTATCTGTTCTCAAAAAAGACATTTTCATAGCCTCTGGCAAGGAAGAAAACAGCACCCTCCATTCTCCCTCTCTTGCGGGGTCATTTGTTTTGCGGAGTAACCACTTCATTCTGATATTTTGGGCGTCCTTGTATTCTGAGGGATGCATTGCCTTTGGTAATGGAGATAATGGACAGC